AGGGACTGAGTAGGGTTAAGCACTTACAGTATGCGAGGCGCATCAGGCTGAAGGACGATATTAGTTTTAAAGATTAGATAGAATTTGAGAAACTTGTAATAGTTGAAATGTAATTGAAATTTGATGATTGAATAAAAGGTGTTTTTTGTTTATAAGTAATGTTACTATCTTGTGTCAATCATTTACTATTGTTTCATTTTGCATGTTTTGACTTCCAGAATAATTATAGTATTCAAACTGTCCACAATCGATCATACTTTGGAGGTAGGTATTGAGGCAAGATTGTCATGAATTTGACTTGTAGATTGTCTGAAGTGTATTATACATAGCAAAGTTTGCTACAACATTCATGAGTGCTCATAAGGTCTGAGTATTGGATTAAACCAACACTCATTTGAATCACTTCATGAAATTTATCACGAGTGATCGTGAGACGATAATATCATATAGTCTTCAAACCAAGATATATGAGTTGTCGACTATGAATTGGTTATACATTGAGAGTGCGAAACCGCGTCAGCAACTTGATGTTATAAAACGCACTATTGTGTATGATTTAACAAGTAGTTAGTACAAGAATATACTGTCGAAGTTTATCTATTCCTTTTAGTCCTTGGAGGATTAAAAGCGATATCTTGGGCCCCTCGATGATTTTGTTTTGACTTATGTGTCGGGCCCGGTCAGAACTAAATTGATGTGTTCGATTAAGTTCTATGTCAAACAAATTGGAAATCGGGAAACAAATGTTGGACAATAAGAATGACTATGTTCCATATATTTGTCTGGCTGATATCTTGAGAACAGAGGATTATATGATCCCTTATCTAAATGGCATGTCAGAGTTCGACAGAGGCTTGAAGAGCTACGATTGCTAGTCGGTTCCTGAAGTCGTACTTGCAGCTATAGTTATTAGACTTATCCAAGTGGGAGACTGTTGGATAAGGTGTCTAAGTCCATAACTATAATTGGTATGTACTTGAACCGAAAATAACATGGTCTATTGGGGTTATATTTCACCGGAACAATTTGAAAGGATGGACTTTTGAGTAGAGGTTGTTTATGATTTATTAATATATTATAAGTTCTAATATATTAATATGAAATCATATTATTTAATTAGTATTGATCAAAAATTAATTTGGAATTAATTTAGTGATCAAAAGAGACTAATTAAATGTATGGGGATTGATTTGGTAAATCAATGATTAGTGTGGGCCTATGGTTACTTAGGATGGGCTAAACCAATATGGTAGTCCATGGATAGTCCATGGAGGTTTAACCCATGCAGACTAAGTAATATGAAAGGTCATGTCCATTAGGGTTTACATGGATGAAACCCTAGACTTTGCCACACTATAAAAGGAGTCCCTTAGCTCCTAAAATCGACACCTAGTTGTTCTAAGAGATCATAAGAGTCGATTTTTGTGCAAGTCACTCTCTCTCAAGTCCTCCATTGTTGGTGGTGTTTTGTGAAGCATTTGAGGCATCACATTTGGGGTGCTAGGCTCTTAAAGGTTCAAGTTAACAAGCTACAGCAAGAGGTAAGTCATCTAACTAGTTTTTGTTGTTCAAGTACCATTGATTTCTATGCTAGTTAGGATAATGCTTTGGACAATCAAACTGCATGTATAATTAGAGAAAACATAGATCCAAAGCATTTAGGGTTGCATGTGAACCATAAGGTTGTTAGAGTGCTCAAAACCCTTCCGATATAAGGTTGGGTCGGAAATGGGTCGGGTTATCGGGTTTGAAAGCTAGATCGGGGCGGGTTAAGTTGAAGAGGGTATCGGTAGGCCTTTAGGTAGGATCGGATTATAGGGTTGGGCACGGGTCGGTTAAGGAGGTATATGGCTGATGTGTTGGTCGCGCAAAGGAAGAGGGCAGTTTGGTCTTGCCCGCGCAATAGTCAGGGAGGGTGGGAGGCATGCCGCACAAGTGGCTGCGAGGGTGGGTATCAGGCTGCGCAAAACCTGCGCGGGTGGGGGACCAGCCTGTGCGCGCACATCAGTTTACAACTCGTATTGGAGGAATTTTTGAGCTCAGATTTGCGCGACTGGGGCTGGGTCGCGCAACGTTTGCATGGGCAAACAGTCAAGCTGCGCAAATTGCAGATTTTTGACACTTTTTTTTCGCTCCACAAGCTCCGGTTTTCTTCCAAACTTTACCAAGATCATTGCTAAACCTCAAGATGCCTATTGTAACGCCCGTAGATCAGGGCTAGTCAATTTAAGGACTATGAGCGTCAAAAATGACTTTTGTTGGAAGATTATTTAGAATGAGTAAACTTAAACAAAGTTGTAGTATATGTTACCAGGATTCCGTACATATAAAGAACGCTGAAATCCGAGTTATAATGAAGAAGTTATGACCTGTTGAAGTTTCGCGACAGAACCGTCACAACACAGCGCGACGTAAATAGTGAATTTACGATAGAGCGATATTTGGCCTTAGCGATCTAAACGAAAGTCGTAGAATACGTTAAACCGAGAGCGTGCATAAAAAAGAACGTCCAAATCTGACTTCGTATGAGGAAGTTATGATTTTTCTAAGTTTCAGCTTAGCGGTATGCAGCCCAAAGTTCGAATATGAGATCGAGTGGTTTCTAGCCGAAACAATCTAAACGAGAATCTAAGATCTCGTCGATAGTAGTGCAACGGAAGAAAGACAGATGAAAACGGATGTTAGATAAAGAAGTTATGAATTTCTAACGGAGTTTTCCTGTCCCGACCTACTAAAAAATGATATAATAAAAAGAAAGTCAAAATTTGCCGACGGAGTCTAAACGAGAGTTGTAGAAATTTGCCGACGGAGCTCGTATGCGAAAGATATGAATTTCTGAAGTTCGAGGCACGCTTACCAAAGGGGGAACGCCCCGCGTTGAAATAGGGAACACCCCGCGTTCGGATCCTAGAGCCTGTCCCGCCGCATGTCAAGTCCGAAGTTCGTAAGCCATCACGTACGGCGGAACACGCTGCGTTCGTCCAAGGAACGCGCTGCATTCATTCGGGGAACGCGCTGCGTTCGAGACCAGATTCACCCTATAAATAGATCACAAGTGCAGCCGAGTTTAGTTGCCAAATTTCTTCTCTCTCACCCGTATTACCTCGTTTTACGTGCAACCTATACCCCCGAAGCCCCGGTATCAATCCCGACACCCGAAGCAAGTCCCGAAGCCCCGAAGATCCCGAGAAGTAAAGTTTCCGAGCCGAAACTCTGCCCTTGAGAGGCCCGGTTTTCAAGGAAGCATCCCGGTTTCACCGAAGAATACCACATTTAGAGTCGTAGTGCTGTCCGATCATCGTATTATCAAGTGAGTGTGTAGTTACTTTCTTCTAACACATAGATATGAAGTATTTGGTATGAAGTACGTGCTATGTGTTTATACATTGTTTGTTTACTTGAGATGGATGTTGAAATAATGTTTTATACAGGTTTTAAAAGATTTAAACTGTATATGTGTTTGCATCTACAAATATGTTGGGTATAACATGGGTAGATGAAATAGTTGATGTGAGACGAAATAATAAGTGTTTTTGAACTCAATGCGTTCATTAGGTATTTTTGAACTCTATGTGTTCACTTGGTGTTTTTGAACTCAATGTGTTCATTAAGTATTTTGAATTCTATGTGTTCACTTGGTGTTTGAACTCAACGTGTTCATTAGGTATATTTGAACTAAGTGTTCATTAGATGTTTTGAACTTATGTGTTCATCAGGTATTTTCGAATTGAGTGTTTAATGGACGTTTTGAACTATGTGTTTATCCGGTGTTTTTGAACTATGTGTTCATTAGAGGATTGTGTTCATTAAGTATTTTTGAACTAGATGTGTTCAGTTGGTGTTGTTGAATTGAGTGTGTTCACTAAGTGTTTTAGAACTAAGTATTCACTAGATGTTTTGAATTAAGTGTTCACTAGGAGTGTTAGAACTAGGTGTTCGTTAAGTATGTTGAACTAAGTGTTTACCGGTTGTAATCTGAGGACCTGGGTAGTGGTGGACACTACTAGAAAAACAGCCTTTTACGACGCGCAATGCGTGTCATAAAACGCTCAGACGACGCGCAAATGCGTGTCAAGGAAGGCCCTGTCATAACGAGAGACGACACGCTTTTGCGCGACGTCTATTTACAACGTGCATTTACGACGCGCATTTATGACGCGCATTTACGACACGCAGTTATGACACGCAATGCATATCATGGAAGGCCCTGTCATAAAAGAAGACGACACGCATTTGCATGTCGTAACCTTACGACGCGTGTGTTTATGACACGCAATGTGTATCAAGGAAGCCCCTGTCAAGAAAGGCCATGTCATAAATGAAGATGACACACATTTTTGCGTATCGTAATTTTAAAGGTTTAAAAAAAATATTATTTATAGATTTACTAATATTCAAATTAAATTTGCAATTAATGTCTAATAATAGAAAATAAAACATCATATACAAAAAATACAATCCATTGTATAAAATTTAATGTCATACAAATAATCGTCTCATGGAAAGATAAAACAAATCAATAGAAGTTGTAACAGATTTTCAAACTAATTAGATACAAGAAATATGAAAAACTTGAAATCCCTGAGATTAATAGTTCTAACAGAAGCTTCATGTGAGATACGTACAGTTGGACCAGTAAGAAAGGATGTTCCTGAATCCACAATAGCAGCACAAGAACATGTAGACGATATCTTCTGCTACAAGGTGTCGATCCAAAACTACTGTTGAAGGTTGTCATGATAGCTGTTAAGATTTAAGCATATATAACAAGAAACCAATCAGTGACTATAAGAAGTTAGATAGCGACAAATCCAATTTAAATAGACAAATGAGAAACAATAGACTTTAAAAACTTACATGTAACAGGATGATCAAAGGCTTCATGGTATGAAAAGGATACATATACACACATGTTGGTACCAGCTCACGGTGCTCAAATTCCTCAACAGATATGACCATGCTTGTATCAGTATGAACCGTTGAATCATCTCCATATATGCCTAACCGCCTTCTCCTTCTCCTTGCATCCTTTCCACATCCACAGAATTAATGCTGCCTTGTAATTCGTACCCATCTGTGTACAACAATACACTGTTCATATTATTGCATCCCACATCACTGCGACACTGTCATATAAGTGTCTATATATGTCGGAATGTTGGAGTCTCCCACATCTTTTTGGATATTTTTATGAAAAAATCGTACCTGGGTAACTAGGGGATAAAGTTGTAGGGTGCTATAGCTGCATAAGAACTGGCCCTCAAACCTGGATAATGGAAACAAGAGATAAGAATATTGAGAGGTTTAATTTTGTATGAAATCCGTGTCAAAATTGAAAGGAACTTTATTCAAACCCTAAAAACAGGCGTATGTACATGAGCATGTGGTTCTTGATGAAACAAGAATTATAACCGAATTGCCACTGGAATAACAAAAGTGCATAGCTGATGTATAAATATATAATGCCAACTTTTGAGATGAAAATATGTTAGGGGATTAAGTAGAAGAAATTACCCAGAACCAAAAGAAAGACGCTAGCTCAAACGCGTTCTGCATACGAATTGATCATGAGTTATGAAGTTGTGTTATTAGCCCTAAAATCAAACACTTGATGGAAATGAAGAATCAAATGGAAGGAAACTACACAAACCTGGAAAAGAATAAAATGGATTAAGTTGAGCAAAAGTTCTGGCTTTTTAAACCAAAAGAGTTCATATCGAGGCTTTAACCTTCTTTCAGCAAAGAAGCCTCCTGTATTGCATCACTTTCAAGTGCCAAAGTAGCAATAACATGTTGCAGTTTTTTCCCCACAAGCAAAACAAGCTGAACATAAACACACACATATACACAGTCAGAATATGAAAAAAGCCAATAGCTAACAATGATAAAAGTGACTTCTTACAGTAATAGGAATGATAGCAATCCAAAAATAAAGATTCGATCCTGCAAGCAAGGTACATAATTATTTATTCAAAATTAGAATATCTTTTAGTATCTTTTAATTTAGGATAAGATTATCTATTAACACTTATATATAGGGTTTTGATATGTCTTTTTGGTTATGATGGAATAAGAATTAAAGAGTTTTCACTCTATTTTGGAGAATCTCTATATCTCGAATAACAGGTCTTATCAACCCCCCTTAGAAAAACTCAATAGATGATGGCTTATAAAGGATTATTACAAAATACCAAACCATACTTGGAAGTGACATGCATAAGAAACTCAAAAATAAAAGATAAATCCATTCCTTTTTAGCTCAAAGATCACATGTTGACTGCTAATGTTGCTGCTTTTCTTCATCTGTCAGATTGGAACCACTTTCCTTAGCCTACAACACCTGCTGCTTCCCTTTAAACTGATGTAAGAATTTATTTAGTGCTTCAGTTGCAGATAGTTCTCCAAAACACTAAGCTTATTGTACTTTGAAAAATGCTTGATCATAGCATTGTACTTGAAAACAAAATCTTATTAGGTGGTTCACTTATAATAAGTTATAATCCAGCTATCAAAGTAGGATACTATAATGAACAAATCAATGAAGATGTATTCTTTTCTTACAAGTGATGGCGAGTAATCAGACGTTGGTAGTCACACTATAAAGGACTAAGCTCCTTTAGAATTTTTCCAATGTTCTCAGAGTGCTTCAACAGCATGCAGTAATTATTATATATAATAGTATAATATATTTCAGTCACATATGAAAAAAAAAGATAAACAAATAAATAAATAAATAAAGATATTTTGACATGTTTATTATTAAATGATTTATTTCCATTTATCCTTGATGCTAGTTCCAGCATATATGAAAGGTAGTTTTGTCTTTGGTACTTTTTAATTATCTGTTTGTTATGTCTAGACCATTACCTGTATGCAGGAGGGACAAGGTAGTTGGGGACAACCTTTTTCTATTTTAGAAGGAGGCTGATTATTAGTGAAATACCATTTCTTATGAAAACCATCACCTGAAAGAACAAGATGAAATTACATATGTAAGATGAAAACCGTCACCTGAAATAACAAGTGAACCCCTGTGCAATTGTCCTAATCTATTTCTTAAAGGAATAATGGAGTGCAATATAGATGAAGCTACAAGGGATAAAGAAATTGTTGAATCAAAATTCTCTAGAAAGGACATAATGGGGGCCAAGAAATTTTCTTTAAAGGCCTAAACTTTGTACCCAGATATTGATGGAATTTCCCAACTTGTAGCAGTTCTAGATGTGTATGTTGCTGCTGAAAACAAAATAAACGGGGGCAAAATGGTCATGTTCAGAAATTACTTATTGTGAACAACAATATCTTTGAAACATATCAGATATAAGACGCAATTTTTTTAAGGAAAGATCTGAATTTCGTTAGGCTTACTTGTTGAACATGGAAATGAAAGAGATGAAGAATACGGGAGCAAAATGGTCATGTTCAGAAATTTAACATATCTGTTGCTAAAGTTTTTTTTTTGAAAGAGAATCTGTTGCTCAAGTTGACGATTTATGGACCAAAAACGTTATGAAATCATGAAATGAGTACCAAAATATATACATACATATGGTGTCATAAATATAATGGGTTTGGTATCTGGGTCGCAAAGCCCATATGTTAAACTTGTGAAAATGACCATTTTGCCAATTGTCAAATGGGAATAAAGAAATATTTAACTGTAAAAAGAAACTCCCTGACTCCAAGATGTTAATAAGTTGATAACAAATAAAATAGATCAGTTTCAGCACCAAGGATTGTAACAACATTCTCGATGATGAAACAAAATGGAGTTGCTCTGCTTCTTATGGTATACAAATTTTTGTCTGGAAAAATCAACATCTAAAGTTCCAATGCAGATTAACGATATTTGGAGCTGATCAAAGAGAAATAAATCACTATGGTCATGCAAAAGCAAGTTAACTCAAGTGTCAGACTTTGCTTAGTTAAAAGAAGCATTCTTAGTTTACAGGTGTATCGTATTATACTTATGAGAAACATGTGTGGCATGCATAACCATTATGATTTATGATACATCCACATATCAATCGTCAACACATAACCATTATAAAAAGTAGCTAATTAGAAAGAGAAATGGCATCATAAACTTAGACTAATGAAACTGGAAAGGGTCAAGGGAGGTAAAAGAAATATGAAAATTATTTAGAGAAATATTTCACTTAAAAGATAGGAGACAAAATTCAAATCTAGAGAACAACTAGAATCAAGTCCCGGTTTACTTGATGTTATGCAGAGTGCTTAACCTCATGGATTGTAAGCCAAACAAATAATATTCACTTGAAGAATGAAGTAAATTATAAGATACTGGTCATCCTGGTCAACTTGACTAAAAGAGATATAATGGCATGCTTAAATATATTTATGAAGCTTTCAGTATTCTATCTGAGATAGAAAAAAGATCAACATATGACCATAAGAAAAATGACGAGCCAACTCAGCCTTCTAAAGGACTAACACGTCAAGGGAGTGGAATCATTAGCTCATTTGGACAAGCTGAAGAGCTTCGTTGTGTAATTGCTATAGTTCGTCATTAAGATTTACAACCTTATTTTTGTTTTATAAATTAAGGCAAATTTCAAGAGATAGAAACATACTTCACTTGTTTGCAGTGGTGATAGAACTCCAAAGCAAAAGGTGAAGTTGAGGGACTTGTTAGATGCTACACGTAATTTGTGTATCATATCAGTTTTGACCTTGTCTTTTTCAAGCATCCACTGCAAGGTTATAACTTCTTTTCAAGGTTATAAATCCTTTTATTTGGTTGCTTGCTTTCCGCATTGTCAATGATCACATCTGAACAGGTGATTCTTCAGAGCTTAATTCATGCCTCACAATAACACATAAAAGAACAATACATGTAATCTACCTCAATGTTATTGCTATTGTACATTACACTTCAGATTTAATAAAAACATGTGTAGTTCCTTGCTCAAAATATATAATATAGCATTAAAACACAAGAGTCGCTCATTGGGGCATTTTATCAAACAGTTGGTGTTCACCAAAAAGTATCCCTAAACAGGCAGTGATTAATTACTCAAAGATTACCAGGTTGCTGTCTTATGTAGTAACAAAGCAACCAAAAATAACAAGCATAGCCCGAGTTGTAGGAGCGTAGAGAAATAAAACATCAATTGTGTTTAGAAGATTCAAAAGATTTACAAACAGCCTAATTCTGAGAAAAGTGTTTACTGATGACTATACTAAGATTTAATTACTCACCTGTATATATAAAGGCCTGATCGTTCCATCATTGGCAGTGGGTAACAAGTTCACGACATCAACCACTCTGTAGTCACGAAACCTTGTGGTGAGATTCTTGAGGGTTTCAACGACCCTTGTAGGCTCGAGAGTAACCATGTCGCAGGGTTGTGATGCCATACCGGGAATCCATAGCCAAGCTGGGTGAAGGAATAAGACGATTTAATAAGATAACTCTAAAATAGGAGATAGAAACCTAAATTGCCTTTTAGGTTTTGAAAACGTGAATTCAAGGAGAGGAGGAAACCTTGTCGGGCTTAGAATCCCTAGTTCTTCGTCATAGAGCCCTCAATCGTAATGATTTTGTAAGGTCTATTTTTTAGAGCAAAAAACCCTCAATCTCAATAGTCTTGTTTCGCCTTAAGATTTGACGAAGGTAAAAGCTAAACTCCATCATCTCCAAACGATTCCATACAATTTCTACTCTTTGTAATAGCTTCTTCAGTTGTTCTATTATGTCTCGTACCCGTTGATCACCACCAAAATCCCTAGCACGTACTAAGTCGATAGAAAAATGAGAGAATCGGGATTTTAGAAGAAAATAAAAGACCTCCCGCTACCTACTACGAAGGAAGACGCATGTTAGGGTTCTTCGTCTGTGTTTTGTTTTGATTTATCTATGGGAAATCAGAAACAAACGAGAATCAGCTTTGCATTCCATACTTCATAGCGATAACTCATGGAATTCAAAGAGCTTCTTTAAGCCAAACCATGGAAAAGAGAAATGTAGAAACGAAGGAAGATGAGAACAAGGCGGGGTTTTCTAATTTTTGGGGATTTTGTTCCCGCTTAGCTATTAAAGGTTGGAAAATGCGCGTTCCATTAAAATTTATAAAGCGACATCCTTAGACGACACACATTTTACTATAGGTGCCCTCCGTGTTTTTTTTATTTAGACACTAATTTAAGGGCACACAATAATGCGTGACCTAAATCCTTAAATTTTTTGAAGAGATGACACTTTTTTAATGTCACACGCTTTTGCGTAACATAAATCAAGGAGTGTCATGGTTTGCGCGTCGTAAAAGGGTCTTTTTCTTGTAGTGGGACTTTGTGTCAATTCCTTAGGTCAATCCTTAGGAATTAAATGAATAAAGGATAGTTGACTCTTAGGGTAAATCCTTAAGAAATAAAGGAGATAATGGGGATGGGTAATTTGGATTGATTGATTGATGATTGAATATAATAATTATATTATTGTGGGTCGAAAAACCCTATATGCTCACCAGGCTCCCAAGCCTGACCCACTCAGTTTTCTTTGCATTACAGGTAATGGCACAAGAGTATAAGTCGGTTGACTCGACGAGAGATTTTGGATTATAGACCAGTAGTTGTGAATAACTGCTGTAAGGTTTAATTGTACTGTTTATGCTTTTTGGTCTGTATCGGAACATGACATCCCGAGGTTTTATTATTAATGAAAAGTACATTCTCTTTAAGAAATGTTTTGATAAAGTTTTATCATATTTTGTTTGGGAACAAATTTCCGCAACTGCTTTCTTTAAAAGATTACTCTGATTTTAAAACAAAGCATAAACAAATCGGTCTTTTCTGGCCGTGAAATTGGGGATGTCACAGTTGGTATCAGAGCATTAGTTTAAGCGAACTAGGAATTTGTAGGAAATTTCCAGACTTAAACTTAGAATGCTAAGTGTTGATTGTGAGATGAGTGTCTACCATATTTTAGACACGAGCACTAGTATATTTTAGGAAAGATGTCTAAAATGCTTTTATGTGCTAAATGTTATATGTTTGCCATATATGAAATTGTTTGTTCGGATTTATGGTCTGTTGCTGACCGGATCTGGAAACCTTATGTGTTTAGGATTCTAAGCGTACGACTACGATATTAGAACTAGCATGTAAACGTTTCGGAGTGATAAGGATGATTTGAATATCTATCGTGAAAGAGGATCTAAATTCACCTTATTCGGTGTATAGATCAAAAATGGCAAGAACCAGAAGTGGAGCTGGAAACATGAACGAAAACAAGAATCAACCACCTGTGATTGAGCAAGTAGTTGTTGCAGCAGCAGCACCTGATCCGATAACAATGGCTGGAGTACAATTGATGATTCAAACGATGTTGGATCGTTAGATGGAAGAAACTAGACGCCTGCTTCAGCAGAATAGTGAAGAACTTTCAATACAAATTGAAGAGCCCGAAGTGAATGGAAGCCAGTCGGGAGGAGGGAACTACAGTGGGACCATTGGTCGAGCTGATCCGCCAGTGATTAGGAGAAACAACCGAGACGACGGGTTCGAAAGAAATGGATGCAAGTACAAAGATTTTCTAACTTGCAAGCCATCGACTTTCACGGGAAAAGAAAACCCAATTGGAGTTATGGATTGGATATCGAAGATGGAATTGGCGTTCATAACATGTGGTTGCAAGGACAAGCTACAAACCACATATGCAGTGCGTCAGTTTAGAGGCAACGCTGTTTGCTGGTGGAACACTCTGGGGAAAACCATAAGCCCCAACGAGCCACTGCAACTGACTTGGGTAGAATTCTTCGTGCAATTCAAACGAAAGTTCTGCTCGGCCCAAGATCTGCTAGAACTAGAGAACCAATTCCTGACATTATAGAAGGACAACATGTCCATTGATGAATACACCAATGCCTTCACAGATAAGATGGAGTTTGCTCTGCGCATTGTCCCAAACGAGTTGGCGAAGATAGATAGATATGCAAAGGGACTACCATGGGAGTACACAGTGCCAGTACGCCAGATGCCTACCCTTGAGGCGGCCATCTGGATTGCTAAGTCAGTCGAAGAAATGATCAAGGGCAGAACCGCCAACAAGGTTGAAGTTGGTGAGAAAAGAAAGTTTGAGGGATCCCCAAGATCCGACGAGAAGAGAAAATTCTCAAAGTCTGGTTCGAAAAAGTTCGAAGGAGGAAGAGATGAAGCAAGATGGTGTGATAAGTGCAAGAAGAAACATTTGGGAAGATGTGGCGAGGAGGTCACATGTTTCAAGTGTGGAAAGTCTGGGCACTACGCCAATGAGTGTGCATCTGGTAAGAAAGTGTGTTATGAGTGTAACGAAAAAGGGCATATCTCGATCAATTGCCCAAAGAAGAAAGAACCAGCCAAGCCAAAGGCATTCCACATGATCCTTGACGAAGCAGATGTCAATACGAGAAATCAAGGATGAAAAAAAAACTTCATGTTAAGCTATGGCTAGTATCTGGAAGTGTAGCCTATTAGCGACATAGTGTAGGGTGAACTTGAACCTTTGTGTAATCGTTTCAAGATTTAATATAAACCCTAGTTTTGATATCTATGTGATATTTATGGTTTGGATGTCTATGTGATATCTATGGTGTTAATATCTGATGTGTTGGATAATTGTGTGATTTTTGTTGTCGTATGGTGACTTGGTTTAACTGCGAGACAATACTTGGGACGAGTATGAGTAGGTGTGAATGGTAGTAGAGGCCTATACTACCGGAAGCACAAGACCCGCACTTGGATCAGGGAAAGTCACAAGGTTACCAAGAAGCTAGTGGTTGGTCTCGTTTTATTCAAGTATGTCGTTACCATCGTTTCGGTAATGACTAAAGAGATGATTGTTATTCCAACCCTAGTGGTCATCTCAAATTGAGTCCGACTACGATGAGTTTGTTACGTAGTTCATAGAACCAAGTTCGATGTAACATCTGACTGAGGTCAGAAGATTGAAATCAATGCGACCGATAGCATCACGCTCGTTGATAAAGAAGTTTGTAGCTAGAGATGCTACATACTAAAATATGATTATATCACATTAGAATATGAGGGAAGGTATATTCCATTCTGGAATTTGACTCTAAGAGACTTGAGTCTAAACGTTGCTTCATACGATGAGAGGTCGTTAGAACATGACCCATTGGTTTGTTACAATAGATAAAGGAAAGTACTTATCCTAAGAAGAAGAAGGAGTCCTCAATAAGGATTTATTTTGTAACTCGAAGGTTACGATTGAAAGTCCAACATAGTACGAAGAGCAGATGTAGGATTGAGCACTACCTGCTATCGAGAAGTCCAAGAGTTAGATACTCTTTCGAGGAAACATAGAAGTTACGGTTATTACCTAGGATGAAGAGATAACGTATGGAATCATTATACAAGTCCTATTTCGTTGATGATTCCGGGACGTAATCATCCTAAGGGGGAGATAATTGTAACACCCGTAGATCTGGGCTACTCAATTTAAGGACTATGAGCGTCAAAAATGACTTTTGTTGGAAGATTATTTAGAAGGAGTAATCTTAAACAAAGTTGTAGTATATGTTACCAAGATTCCGTACATATAAAGAATGCTGAAATCCGAGTTATAATGAAGAAGTTATGACATGTCGAAGTTTCGCGACAGAACTGGCACGGCACAGCGCGACGTAAATAGTGAATTTACGATAGAGTGATATTTGGCCTTAGCGATCAAACGAAAGTCGTAGAATACGTTAAACCGAGAGCGTGCATAAAAAGAACGTCCAAATCTGACTTCGTATGAGGAAGTTATGATTTTTCTAAGTTTCAGCGGTATGCAGCCCAAAGTTCGAATATGAGATCGAGTGGTTTTTAGCCGAAACAATCTAAACGAGAATCGAAGATCTCGTCGATAGTAGTGCAACGGAAGAAAGACAGACGAAAACGGACGTCAGATAAAGAAGTTATGAATTTCTAACAGAGTTTTCCTGTCCCGACCTACTAAAAATAATATAATAAAAAGAAAGTCAAAATTTACCGATAGAGTCTAAACGAGAGTTGTAGAGCATAATCTCACCTTCGCGTGGATATAAAGAACGTCGAAAACGGAGCTAGTATGCGAAAGATATGAATTTCTGAAGTTCGAGGCACGCTTACCAAAGGGGGAACGCCCCGCATTCGGAGCCCACAGCCTGTCCCGTCGCATGTCAAGTCCGAAGTTCGTAAGCCAAGACGCACGGCGGAACGCGCTGCGTTTGGGAACGCGTTGCATTCATTCGGGGAACGCGCTGCGTTCGAGACCAGATTCACCCTATAAATAGATCACAAGTGCAACCGAGTTTAGTTGCCAAATTTCTTCTCTCTCACCCGTATTACCTCGTTTTACGTGCAACCTATACCCCCGACGCCCCGGTATCAATCCCGAC